GTTGTTTGGGAGAAAGGAGGAAAGGGAGTGAGGGGTGGCGTGGATAAGAAAGCAAGAGGACGACCAAATCTACACACTACAAGTTTAGTAAATGATTTACGGCAATTGCAACACAATAAGGTCATCATAGAGCTTCAACTATCAAGGTACCCCGGAAATAGGGGGCCACAAGAGCGTGACAAACATGCAAAAGAAGTAGAGGAAGTATGACGATAGATAGGATTAGGAAAGAAAAAGCAGCAGTTCCCTATTGCAGTTCAGGCACAGTTACGAGCATGACATTGATGAATCAGCCCATCTGTGCATAAGAACATATTAAAGCACCCCCTTTCGGAATTGCCTAAAGACACTTCAGTCCGTAGCACTGCCCCAGGGGGTTAAAAGAGAGTAACAAACACAAAAAAGGAGCAGACATAAGGTCGATAGATGTTTGATTGGAAAGAAGAAGCAAACCATACCACAGCACCCGCCAACCACCCACGACTATCTATCTAATCTGCGCAATACAAGTATATATTATTATACACGTGGTCAATTTCAATGAAGGGCAAGGTAACCGGTGGAGACGGGGATCGTCTAGGAGAAGGTAGTGAGGGTGGCATGGATAAAAGCAAGACCAAATCTATTACTACATGAACATGGACACACGGCCATTTACAGTGAAGGAGAAGAGAATTTAGTTTAGAATTAGTAGAGGTTTTACGGCGCTCGACTCTGCATAAAGTCATATGAGCGCTCAGAAGATTAGAGGTGTTACAAGAGAGTAACAAACATGAAAAAGAAGAAGGGACGATAAGGACGACAGATGTTTGATAGGAAAGAAGAAGCAAACCACACCAGAGCACTCGCAAACCACCCACAAGGAGAAGAGAGGCCCGACCGGGGAAGCAAGCCAGCTTGTCACATGCCTCGACCGTGCCCTGCAAGATGGAAGATATCACTGACGACACTCTCGAAAAGAGTAGATGAATGACTGATTGATTGTATGAATTGAATTTTATTTTTCAATCGGTTTTAACGAAAGAACATTCATTGTTGAAATTATACAATTTTACAGAGTAATTTGCTTTGATTTGCACACAAAAAGGAAGAAATATTGAACAACACAAAATAAATTGACATTTTAGAGGGGAGGGACTATCTCTACACCACCAATTTGAAGGTGGAGAATAAAAAACTATTATGTTATAACTACCGTGTTCAAGTGTTGTAATTATGATTATCATCAATACTCAAACACTTAAATGAAATTGTGGCAAACTGGGTAGCCCCCCTCCCCCTAACTGGGGGAACTAGGAGTTGTTTGGGAGAAGGGGGTAAAGGGGTGGAGTGAACATAACGACAACCCCATTATCTACACACTTATAGACAGACACGGGGTCGTTTTCAATGAAGTACAAGCTAACCGGTAAAAGTGGGGGTTGTTTGGGAAAAGATAGTAAGGGTGATGTGGATATGACATGAGGGCGACCAAATCTAATCTACACTTTGCATGGGGTCTTTTTCAATGACGGACAAGGTAATCGGTGGAAAAGGGGAGAGAAAAGGTGAGAAAAGGAGTGAGGGTGCCGTGGAAAAATGGACGACCATAATATCTAGAGTGTCACAGACACACCGAGGTCATTTTCCAAGAATGAGAAGGTGACCGGAGTAGGCAGGGGCTGTTTGGGAAAAGATAGCGAAGGTGGCGTGGACTCAACGACCACCATAGATTATATTGTCTACACACTCGCAAACATACGAGGTCATTATCAATGAAGGACAAGGTAACCGGTGGAAATGGGGAGTTGTTTGGGAGAAAATATTGAGGGTGGTGTGAACTCAAGGACGACCACATTATCTACACACTTACAGACACACACGGGGTCGTTTTCAATGAAGGAGAGGGAAACTAGTAAATGGTGGTGAAAATGGGGACATGTTTGGGGGGAGGGAGTGAGGGTGACGTGGATAACAAAACGACCAAAAGAAATGTACACACTGCATACACACGAAGTCATTTTCAAAGGAGACTGTAATCTTTGGAGACAGGAGTTGTGTGGGAGAAAGGGGTGAGGATGGTGAGGATATGATGACGCTCACATCTATGCTACATACACTACATACTGTATAATATAAACATAATTTTCAGTGAATATTTTGGTACGAGGTTTAAGGCACTTGCGACAAAATTAGGTCATATAAGAGCCGTAGAGGTGTTACAAGAGAGTAACAAACAAAAAAAGGAAGAGAGATAAAGATGATAGATGTTCGATGGGAAGGAAGGAGAGAGTCACACCAGAACACCCACCGATGTGGGAATGCATTTCATTCTCTGCAATATGACAGAGACTCCTTGCCAAGCGAAGCAAAACAAAAAGTCCAAACAAACAAACACAAACAAACAGCAACACTTTAAAAAAAAACAATTTAAAAAGCACCCATCAGGTATTTGAACCCCAGTCATCGGCATGTCATAATCGTCCACCACGCTAACAACTTAGCTACAGGCGTGCCCAGTCCTTACACAAGGTGCCTAATCAAACAAACAAACAAATAAATAAACAAAAAAAACAAACAAACAAACGAGCTTCTCAAGAGTACCCCAACCTTGACATCGTTGTCAGTATTCGCCGTACCTGTGAACAGACCTGTTTCCTCTAATCTCGTCTCTCGACCCGCCTTTTCTTTCGCCTAAAGACTCGGCCCACATTTTAACCTTACCACATACAACCAAAAGCAGGAAGTCCCGAGTCCTATCGAATGGAATGACAAAGCAAGCAAGCAGTCATCGGCAGTCACGCCACTCCCTGGGCCTACTAGATCTAGACTAGACTACTCCCTGTTGCAACACTGCACACCCTCGTTGGGTCAAAGGTGAACCAGATAACAGAAAATCGTTTGTGCAAGGGTATCCTAGACCTACGGCCAAGATAGATAAAAGGTAACGGACGACGAAGTTAAGCACACTACTCAGTTACAGTTACATATCGTCGATGCAGTTTGTTATCTCAGTGTAGAAAAAATGTGAAAACTCCGGTCTTAAGGCATTTGACAGGAGCACAATTTTGAAAAATCAAACAAAACTTGAAAAGCCGATCTTCAGGCATTTGGCCTGAGCATTTTTTTAAAAATATTTTTTTTTAAATTTAAAACAAAAAAAACTGTTCTTGAAGCATTTGGCCTGAGCATAATCTTAAAAATTAAACAAAATTTGAAAATTCCATTCTTACGGCATTTGATCAAAACACAATCTTAAAAATCAGCTCTCCCCTTGACATTTTACTTTGCATCAATAATTCATGACAACTTAAACATACATTGTAAAAATCAAGAGGCTGAAACGCGTATTAGACTAGATCTATTTTTTTTTTAATTAAATTTTTTTTTCTCCACATTTTCTCGAAAGTATCTGAAGGCTCCATAAGTGGACACATGTAGCAAAATGCACCCACGATATCAATCCTTCAAAATGGCTGGCTGAAGGGCATCACACGCACTACCCGCATGTCTTACTTCTTGACTTTCTTTGTGTTGTTTGTGTCCCAGTACGTCACCCTTCAGAATGAAAGACTGAAGGACACCACTAATAATAATAATAATAATAATAATAATAATAATAATAGATAACAATTTGTATAGCGCAAATCCCTGCTCAACAGAAAGC